TACAGTAGATATTGTAAAATGAAAAAAAAATGTTCAAAAGGAAAAAGGAACAAGGATGGATGAAAGGGGAAAGGACAGCAGGGAAAAGAGAAAATAATGCAAGTCAGTTACACTAACAGCATCTCTCAGTTCATTACAAAGGTTTGTGCTATTATTGACTGGAGAAAGTTTTATGCCCATATCCTGTATCCTGAGCAACTACTCTAAAGATAACAACATGCAATGTATTAACTATTGTTATTTTCCTACTGTTATGAAATTATATCTTTTTAAAAAAAAATAAAAATAAAGACAAATTGTTGAAAAGAAATCCTGCTGGTTCACCACTCCAGGACTGGCTGGAGAGCAGGAGCAGGGTGTTTTATAATTCCCCAAATAAGAGAGGAAGGCCATTCAAACCCAGTGTTTTCTCACCATTGACCTCAAAACTAAAAGCAGCCCAGTCAGTCGCATTTCTCCTGGATAAAATGAGAGTGTCTCTGAAAATACTTCGTGAGCTTGTCAGCACCCACCGTGGGGATCACGCGGGAAGTCTACCAATCCCAAATGATAAATGGAGGCACTCTCCTTCCCAAGCTGGTTGGTAATCTCCTTTTCTTTCAAGAGAGGTCAAAGTGATAGGGGAAAATCAGCAAAAGAACCACCAGCAGCAAGCAACTACACAGAGAAATATTTTTGTCTCTACTGACACAAGCCTCTTCTTTCCCACCCAGAGAAACTCGGAAAGAGTAGCAGAACCAGTAAGAGAGATCTAGATAAAGCAACTGGAGTAGCAAAACAAACTTCACTGCCCCACAATTCAGGTTTTATCTCTGACTGCCTGCTGGACCTACTCAACCAGAGAGAACTTGCGTAGGGGTCTCATCAGACTTCCCCACCAAAAGGCGTCAGTAACCAGGCCTGGAAAAAAATGCCCGCATTTCTGGCAGCACTATCACAGAACAGTGGGAACACTAGTGACAACATACAGATCAAATTAATCAAAGTAATACCATAAAGATTTTCAAAATTAAACTGTCAAAAAAAATTAAAACGTCATTGAAAGGAAATATAACAAAGGAGAAAAAATATTCAGTATACAATCAACAATTACTTGTCGTACTAAGAACTAAGCAACTCCCAACTGTAATAAAAAAAGGAAATCAAATGCTATCAGTCCCCTGAGATGAACCTGCGATTATAATTATCTGACAATGAATTGAAAGTGGTTGTTAAAACATATTTCAGTAAATCATTTCAAATTTTCTGGAAACTAATGAATAAATAGGAAATATCAACAGAGAAACACAAGTTACAAAAACCTCTCTGACTCTCTTT